ATAGATTCCAAGACAACAGATATTATCTAAGAGAAACATATCAAATTAGGAAAATAGAAAAATTAAAAGTCATGATAGCCATAAAATATAAAAAAATGAGAGGTCTTCAAATACATAAAGAACAACTGAGAACTATAGACAAAAATAAATTCACAACTATAGGCAGAAGTGTTTTCTTAACATTACTCTCTTAGTAACTTACAGAACAATAAAAATGTTCACTAAATATGTAGGGAATCTAAATACTGAACCAAAAATGACAGAATTCTTGAATTACTGGCATTGTAGACCATTATACTCAATGATTGCTAAATACACATTTATGTGCACATTCAACTTTCATCATGATACTTCAATTGCTAGATCATAAGTCTTAATGAATTCTGAAAAGTTGAAGTATTACAGAGTATTTTTTAATTTCATAACATAAATTAGAAGTAGCAAGTAGTTACCCAGAAAAACTCCAAATATTTGGATACTCCACTTGAAAACAATAGGTTAAACTAAATCACAAAGGAAGAAGCTACTAACTGAATGATAATTAAAATAATGACAAAGTGGCTTATATCAGAAATGCAATGTTGGGTATTGGGTTTAAAATTTAAAATCTGACCAAAATAATTCCTATAATAAGAGCATGAAGAGAAGACATGATACCACAAAACTTGAAAAATCAAATTTAGACATTCATTTATAATAGCATCAAACCATAAATCAAAGGGATATATCTAATAGTTAAATTTTTATTAACAATTAAATTTAAACTTTAATGTTTTCATATTGAAAACTACAAACTATCCTTCTTTACTGAAAAGTATAAAATTTTTGTGAGAAATTACAGATGACCTAATAAATGGAAGACCATACTATTTTCATAGATCAGTAGATTCACTTTGGTCAAGATGCAAATTATCACTAAATTTATAAATAGGTTTAATGTATCCAAAACCAATTTCCTAAAAGTTTTATTTTTAAGAAATTAACAAATTAATTCTAAAATAGAGTGAAAATACAAAAGATCTAGTATAGCCAAGTCCCTCCCAAAAACCTTAAAATAAGAGAAAAAAAGTTTTGAACTCACAGTATCTTATCTCAAGATTTACTAAATTTAACCTAACTTTTCTGTGTACATATAAGAATATGCCATAGTGAATCTAATCATCATGATACTACTTTAAAATTATTAAAAAATACATAGCAGGACGATCAGCAAAGCAGAGGGAAGGGAAGAGATAGAAGAAGGAGGAAAGGGAAAGGGGAAATACTAGGGACTGAATTAGGGCAAATTATATCCCATTACGAATCCCAATGTCATGTATAATTAAAAGAATCAATGAAAAGGAAAAAAATTACTATGAAACTTCAGTGAAAAAAAAATGGCATTGGGGGCTGGGGATATGGCTCAAGCAGTATCGCGCTCGCCTGGCATGTGTGAGGCCCGGGTTTGATCCTAAGCACCACATACAAACAAAGATGTTGTGTCCGCCGAAAACTAAAAAATACATATTAAAATTCTCTCTCTCTCTCTCTCTCTCTCTCTCTCTCTCTCTCTGTCACTCTCTCAAAAAAATGGCATTAAAAGAGAAAAACAGAGTTCAAAAAAGATCCATATATACATTGTTAACTTAATTGAACAATAGCATCAGTTCATTCATTTAAGAAAAGTCTTCAACAAATGCTTCTGGAACAATGGAGGAACACATGAAAATTCTGAAACTCAACCCTTATATTACATTACACATTAAAATGATTTGCAATATTGCACATATGTGCAGAAACTATGAATATAAAGCTTCGGGGGAAAACAGAAGAATAAATTTGTAAATGTAGGATAAGCAAGGATTCAATAGAGTTTGCAGTAAGTATTGCAAATAAAAGAATAAAATTGATACACTGTACTTCACCAAAATTAAAAAAGTCTGCCTATCAAAAAACTCAAAAGTGAAAATACAGGAGATAGAGAGTGATGACTAACTGCTTAATGGTTATGGATTTTCTTTGGGGTCCTGGAAATGTTTTGGAACTAGATAAAGAAGTTGGTTGCACAACACTGTGAAATACTAATTTTCACTGAATAATGTATTTTTAAATTTTAATTTTAGGTGAATTTCATTTCAATTAAAAATAAAAAGAATAGAGGGGAATATAAAAAGGGAGACAGAAGAAAAGGAAGAATAAATAGAAATCAGGAATGAATTAATAGAAAATATGGGTTATTTTATAGTTCATATTACATAATCATTAAAAGGAAAAGGAAAAATAATCACAGAAAATAATAGGAAATGTAAAATAAAAAATCTACATTTAGATATTGTGTTCCAATTAATGATTTTGTTTATAAATGGATATGAGTTAGCAATTATGAAGTTATTTTATGTATATACTGCATTGAGACTTGAGAAAACATTGTAGATAATAAAAAGTAGCATTCCCAGGTGGAAGAAAGGAATAAAAACTAAGGTGAGGGAAGAATAAGCCGAGCCCTGTGATACTGGATTGTATTTAGAAATAGTATGATCTCTTGATTTCTTGTATAGTTTGAGAATATGTAAATTATCTATAATATACTATGAGAATACATACTTAGCATATAGATAGGTTAATGGATAAAGTCAGAAAAAATATAGATGTCTGTGTGTAAACATATACATATTTCTTATCTCTGGACCTAGATGCAATGACACAACAGTTGTAATGAGTACATGTAATACCCAGATCTTGGTTTCTAAATACTTTTTTCCAATATAAAGAACCAGGGTTCCTTTAAGAAATGGTTGATTATAGACTTTGGGGAGGAAACTATAAGATAGCTAGGACATACAGTAGAAATAAAAAATATGTAAGTGTTTAAAAAACTATGGAGGCAGTTTCAAAGAACACAGGGGCCAACTTACAGGAGTCCCCAGTGGTCAAACCTAGGAAAATTTGCATGAAAATAAATAATATTTGAGATACACGAGAAATCTGAAAATAAAATAAATATCCATAAATACACACTGATTAATCTCTACAAGTGAATATATTTTTAAAATGGGGAAGAAGAACAGCTCTTCCTTACAAATTTCAATGAGTAAGTGTACAAAACATCATGGAAATACAATCACTAGGTAAACCCCATACTAATAATTGCTATAAGCAAGAGTCTTCAATGGATACTAAAATTAAATGATATAGAACATATTTTCATAGTCTCAAAGTATCTCCTGACAATAAAAGAACATTTTTGCAGTGAAAAAAACTGGCAGACACCACCTTAATCAATTGATCATATTTAACATTAGTAGAAATAATACAAATGGATATCATTTATTCTAGATAAGATCCACTGGAAAAGGAACATTATTATTGTTGTTTTTATAAAAAATGCACTAATATAGGGAATAGTGTGGATAAATCTCAATATCATTATGATGGGTGGAAGAAGACAGACACATACTGTATGATTCCATTCATATTAATTTCAAAAATAAGCAAAACCAATCTATGATCACAGAAATCAGAACACTTTCTTATGAGAATTTCCTTGACTGAAAAGAGGTAGTATCGAAACTACTTAAGTAGTTATAAAAATATCTCCTTAGGCAGTAGTTACATTTAAGAAAACTCATTAAATTATACAATTAATATTTAAGCATGTATGTAAATTTTACCTATGTAAAGATATAAATTAAAATTATTTAAAATAATAAAAAAGCTCCTCATATACTAATATAAAATAACCTGCTAGAAATATTTAAGTATTTATATTTCACATAAGTATGCAAAAGAAAGTTACAGAAAAGTATAAAATTGTGCGTGTGTGTGTGCGTTTGTGTGTGTGTGTGTATCTATCTATCCTGGAGTATGGAGGATGTGTGTGGGGGGGTGTATGTAGGGAGAAACAAAAAACCAATAATGCTAACTGTCTCCAGGAAGGAGAAACTGTGTGGCCATAAAAGATAGAACTGAGAAGTTAGATTGCATTTCACTTTTAAGATCTATGCATCTTTTGTAAATTTGGATTTTATAACATATATCATTATTTGAAAATAAAAATTAAAATTGTTTCTACTAGGGAAAAAGAGATACTTTTGATTTCCAGGCTCATTTAAACATACTTTTTAAAAAACATGAAGTAACTATGACAAATGTTGATAACAATGGAACACAGGTTCCTAGTCTCCAGTATGTGCAAGTTCACTGTTCTTTCCTTTTATTAATTTGAATGCTTATAATGTGTTCAAAATGAAAAGTTATAAAATAAACAGAGAAAAATCTTTGGTTACCAAGAACACGAGAACAAATGAAAATAAATATAGATTATAAATTACAAATTTTTAAGGTGTTTTTGGTACTGGGTATAGAACCCAGGGGGCACTCTATCACTGAGTTACAATCCTACCTCTTTTTATTTTAAGACAGGCTCTCACTAAGTTGCCAGGCTGATCTTGAATTTATGATCCTCCTACCTGAGCATCCTAAGTATCTGAGATTACAGGCATACATCACTGTTTCTGGCTCTATTTAAGAATTTATTAGGAAAAGCAGAAAAGAATGCAGGGAATATACAAATAATTAGAACATTTAAAAGCCTGATAAATTGTGCTGAAAAACTGATTGAGGGGAAAAGGAAATGAAGGACTAATGATGTCAAAAATCTACTGATTAAATTTACAAAGTTTAAAAAGTCATAGCAGAAATAACCCAAACTCCATTCTAATATGCTAGAAAACCTACATGGATTGTAATCTTCTGGGGAAAAAAGATTAAATGTAATACGCAAAATGTCAGACAAGTAATAACCATAGAAAAAATTTTTAAAAAATTCTAGACAGCATCGTTTTTTCAAACCAACAAAAACAAAAGAGTGGTTGATTTCATTGATGTATTTGTTTAACCATTGATAGTAATGCTAGAGCTATTTAACCCGTTCTAGAGCAAAGAATAGAAAGAAATGCTCAAAATTGCTTTAACATAATCAACCAGAAAATTGGATATAAAAGCATGACAAAAACAGCACATAAAATAATAGATTAAATTTCCTGAAGTAATATGCTTTCAAAACTCCCAAATCAAAATACCCACAATTCAGCAGTGAATTAAAACAATCAAATTTTTTTAAAAACCAAATATGGTCTGTTTGTTCACAGAAAAATAGGACATTTCAATAATAGGAAATGAATTTTTATACCAATAAATGTTTTTATAAAGAATATAACTGTACAAAAATCAATGAATATATCTATTACATGGTTTTCGTTAAAATGTCTTAGAAAAATATGAAAAGTGGAAAATTTTTCTAATGCAATAAACAAAATATTTCAAACTTAAAATTAGCATCTTACATTGATGACTAAGACCATCTATATAAAAATAACTTACCTATTGGGAATAAGACCTGATACCACCCTGAGTCCTGCCCAGCAAGATAAAAGCATAAGCTAATAAATAAATTCAGTTTGTTCACATAGGCAAATAGGTTTTCTATCACTGATAACATTTTATCTAGGCAAGCAGTTCATTTAGACAATAACTTGATTATCAGGACTAATATTAAGAACCTCATAATACTCTCCCATCAATCTTAAAGTATTACATGATGAATTTTGCCCATCCCTAATCACTTTCCTGCTTTAAATCACATCAGCCCAGACCCAGAGCCCTTATTTCCTGCTTTTAAAACACTATTAAACCCTGTCAAGGTGGTGTTTTCCCTTGCTGCAATAAGTTTAATAAGCTCAGCTTTGCTTGATCATAGCTTTTTCAGGTAGTCTTTTGGGGGACATAAACCAGCAACAATGTGCTGTTCAAACCCAAGAAGCATTCCATTAAAACCCATTTAAGTCAAGGGTGGGTAATTATTTACACAATCGTTTGAGTGCCCTGCATATCAGTCTGTGCACTTTATCAACATAATTAAAATCAGGGTCAATAAGGGAGAAAATAAAAATTATCAATATTTGGAAAGAATTTGATAAATATTTTGAAAAAATCTGAAAAGAAATGAGAAACAGTAAGATGACTACTAATCCCCCCAAAACAAAACTAATCAAAACTTTCAGATAAAGAAAAATAAACAAGCAAATAAATTAGAATAAAAACCCCATCATAAAAGTAAAAATATTAACAGTCATTAAAATTATTGAATAATAAAGACATACCTTATTCTTGGATATGAAGACTTAATATTATTAAAAACCAATTCTTTCCTAAATTAATTTATTATAGTTTATGAAATTGCAGTCTAAACTGCGATTTCTCCCAACGAGAAGACACATGAGACAGGAGGCAAAAGAAGAAACACACAGATCCACAAAACACAGATGGAGCCCGTCACAGATGGGAATACAGCATATGCGCAGGATGGCGTTACAGATAAATGGGCAATTATTGGCAAATAATCGCAAGTAATGGCAAATAACTTGGCAACCTTAAGATTTCAAAACAAAAAAGTTTCTCATGATTTAAGAATTTGAATTAAAAAAACACAAAATAATTAGAAGTTAACATAGGTGAAGGGTTTTATGGACTAAGTATAAGTATCTTTCCAAAAATGACATGAAACTCAGAAACCATAAAAGCAAACATGGTTATACTTGGACATATAACAATCATACACATTCTTGTAACAAAAACAAAGTTAAAAAGTGTGTAAAAAAATCTGTAATGCTTGACAATCCAAAGCTTATTTCCTCAATAGTAAATGTGCTCTTTGAAATCTGGAAGAGACTAAAACCTCCCCAAACCCTCAAAATTGGACATAAAAGAAGAAATTAAAAAATACAGATGACTAACAAACATGAAAAAATGATAAAACTAAAAAAACAAAAGAAATACAATTTAAGACAATAGTTTGGGCGATAACATTGGCAAAGATTTTAAATATTTATAAAATCCATTATCTGTACGGTTGTGGGAACGTTGGCAATCTCATTTGTTGCCATGAAGGATAAAATTGTTAACCACATTTTAAAGGAAAAATTTGCAATAATTTTCAGAATTTGAAATGTGTATATTCTTAATCCCAGTGATTCAACTACTTAGTAATTTTATTATGATATAATAAACAAAAGCAAGATTGTTGATATATAGGGAGGTTCATTGCACAGAAATTTGGTGCTAACATAAATATCTATGAATGAGAAATGCTTAAAACATTTAATTATATTTCATCTACAAAACAGTCATGCAGTCATTCAACAAATGGCACAGATATGTATGTATTACTGAAGTAGAAAAAGCCCATTGAAAAGACTATTAAATGAAAGAGGCAATTTGCAGGAGAATGTATTACAATATGTCCCACTTCTAGACCCCCTCCCCAAAATAGGTTTTGTGTTTGTGCACATCTATCCTCTAAAAGAATGCACATACCTCCCTTAATAGAAGAAAACTATAAGGGTGGCATTAATGAGAGGAGGGCACTTAATTTATATATTAATTATTTAAATGTCAAGTTTTAAAAAAATATCATGCAGAGTTTCTTTTGACTGTATCCTATTTTCAAAAATTTATCACATGGCAAAGGAAAATTATAAGTGTATCTTTATGGGAGCACTGAGCAATTCCATCATTTTGAGCTTCTTGTGTAATATTATTTCCTCTAGTGAGGCTCCTGGGTTTGAGTCAAGTGGCAGCAAGGGAAACAGTCACCATGCCCAAATTAAAGTCTCATCGATGATATCCCAACATGAGCATTTCTCAGTTAAGCATTTCTTATCTGCAGGAGGTATCCACTGCCACACAGGAAAGAGAAGTGACTGTGCATAAGGAAGACTATATCATTGTTTTGGTGAAGCTGGTGGTAGAAGTAATGGCACCAACTCTTAACAAATATACCTTGTCTTTGGGGTCATCACCTACAAAGACACAGAGAGAAAAAATGACAGAGGTTAGAAACACATGCACTAAGGAGGCAGGGGGTCATGAAATTCTTACTATTCCCATACATGTGATGGAACAAATCTATGTAGAGTACAAAGAGAAAGCCACATTTCTAGCAGCTGGATCCACACTATAGCTACAAAAATCACTTTATAACTTCCTAAGAATGCCAAGTACTATTGTATTGCATTTTCTCCTTTTGATGGGCTAAAAAGTTATGGACATTCTTCAGCAACTTCAAATTTTGTGTCTGTCTCTTCCCTGCTGTTCTTGGCTCCTTAAAGCTCATTCATTTGATCAATTATTTCAGACAAAACTATTTGTCAACTTTCTAGTCGGAGTCACTGAGAATATACTGTATCTCATGAATACAATTTTCTAGCAATACAATAGATCCAGCCATAAAGAAGTGCTGTCAACTGGATGAGAGAAGAAAAGTTATAAGGAAATCCTTCATGTTGGAAGGAAATATACTGAAATGTAGAAAAGCTATACACAAAAGCTCTGACATTTAACCCACTGTGCTATGTGGCCATTGGAATCCATTAAAATGTACTCAAATCATCAGACTGCAAGAAATTAACATATCATTTTCTACCCAGACATGGCTTCTAGAAAGCAAGGACTATTCTAACTAACAACCTTACCTTCAGAGTGTGTCTCTTGCAAAATATTCAGGTGAAGAGCTCTTTGTTGGAGGAGCCTTCTTTTGGAAATTTAATGGTACCATTCACTCCCAGAAGAATTCCCAAAAAAGTTCTCTTCTGAGGTGATAAATAAATAAATAAATAAATAAATAAATAAATAAGCAAGCAAACAAACAAACAAAAAACTCTATTTCCAGTGAAGCAGGTAATGCAGTGAGAGTCTGGGAAATTTGCTGTTTCTTTCTTTTTAATATTGATTTCATTTGGAAACTGCTCCTTATTTACACAGCTCTGAAACCATAACCAGATGTTCCATGTCTCTATGTTTTAGGATCAACACATTGTATCTTTCAGATTTTTAAAACTGAATGAATCACCTGAGTCCCACTGAAAATAGTGTCTTTTGCTTTCTTAAAAATCATCTTTCACTGCTTTGTTGGAAAGATTATTCCCCAAATCACTCAAAACAGGGTACAAATATATCTATTCTCACCAAAAGTTACTGAGAACTTATTCTATAAAAGGCAATACACAAGGTGGCTTTGTCACAAAAAATAAACTGAAAGTTATCTGACCACAGGAAATCAAAAGTACATTGGATGAATCTATCATGCCAATAAAGAGCTAAAATGTAATAGTCTGATAAAGGTAATTCAGCTGAGGGTAGGATTATTGAGGAGAGACCTCCAGTTCAAGAAAACCTGTTATGATCACATAGCTATAACTCCTCTGTACTGTAACCATACTCATCTGGTTTTTGGATGCAACCAAATGCAATCAAGACTAAGAAGAAGATATATTAATTCAAACCCATTCTAGGCTGCTTTCCTATAAACATGAAATTCCCTGCCCATATAGTTATTATACCTGTGCGGGTGTCCAAGAGTCCATAGGTAGGAATGGAGACCTTGGAAGTAAGTTGTCAGCTCATACTCTGAAAATGACATTTAAGAATTAAGAAGACAGGCATGAACAACTGCCCTTCCATTTTGGGGTTTATGGTCACCTAACAGAGAAAAGAAAAAAAAGAGGAAAAATAACATCTTAATACAAAAATATGCATGCAGACAGATGTGTCTATATGTACACAGGGCACACACAATCTAACAATAAAACAAAAATATGCATGCATACAGATGTGCCTATATGTACATAGGGCACACAGAATCTAACAATAAAACAGTTATGAAGTGTGAGTATGCTATGCTACGCACATACTGGGAACGGTGGATATTACTAAGTCCTCTGTGTGTCACATGCACAAATATGAACCACTCTCCCTTTCCCCATAAGGTCCAAAGGACAGAGAACAGTTCAGTAATAATTATGTTTTTGAAATAAAATATTCATGTTCTATTAAGACTGTTATAAATTTTTTTGAATACTACTATAAAAATTAACAATCCCAGGCCTGTAATCCCAGCGACTTGGGAGGTTGAGGCAGGAGGATCACAAGTTCAAGGCCAGCCTTAGCAACTTAGTGAGACCATCAGCAACTTAGTGAGACCCAGTCTCAAAATAAAACATAAAAAGGGCTGGGTTCATGGCTTAGTGGTTAAGTGTCCATGGGTTCAATCCTTAGTACCAATTAATAAATAAGTTAGTTTTTTAAAAAGCAACAAAACCATAATCTCTTCATTTCCATTCCATAAAGTCTAAGGACAAGTTCTAACAATTTCACTGGCAAACTAAATCTATTCTAACTTACCAATTTTCACAAGACCATCTTTATAGAAAAATGCACATGCCAATAATATCTGAATATCTAGAAAGGTTGTATTCAACTAAATTATGCTAAACATTTTTTAAAAAGTAGTCTAAAATTTGCCCCAAAGTAACAATCTAGTGAAAGGGTGCATTCAAGTGCAATAAGCAAGTGTCCTAATCATTTTTCATTTAAAAGACATCCATAAACAATGTTTATCTATAATTTTGAAAAAGCATATAAAATCAACTTTTAAGAAATTTGTTCTAATTAGTTATAAATGACAGTAGAATGCATTTTGACACATCATACATGAATGGAGTATAATTTATCACTTCTGGTTGTACATGATGTAGAATCACACCAGTCATGTAGTCATATATGTACATAGGATTGTAATGTCAGATTCATTCTACTATCCTTCCTACCCCCATACCCCTCCCCTCCCTTCACTCCCCTCTACCTAATCCAAAGTAACTCTATTCTTCCTTAGCCCCACACTTTTTATTGTGAATTAGCATCATTTATCAGAGAAAACATTCAGCTTTTGTTTTTTGAAGATTGGCTTCTTTCACTTAGCATGATATTCTCCAGCTTTATCCATTTACCAGCAAATGCCATTATTTCATTCTTCTTTAAGGTGGAGTAATATTCCATTGTGCATATATACCACATTTTCTTTATCCATTCATCTGTTGAATGACACGTAGGTTGATTCCATAGTTTAGCTATTGCAAGTTGAGTTGCTGTAAACATTGATGTGGCCGTGCCACTGTAATATGCTGTTTTTAAGTCCTTTGGGTATAAACCAAAGAATGGGATAGCGGGGTCAAATGGTGGTTCCATTCCAAGCTTTCTGAGGAATCTCATACTGCTTTACATAACAGTATCACCAGTTTGCAGTCCCACCAGTATTGAACCTTTCCCCCCACATCCTCGCAACATTTATTATTGCTTGTAATATTGATAATTGCCATTCTGACTGGAGGGAGATGAAATCTTAGAGTATTTTTGATTTGTACTTCTCTAGTTGCTAGAAATTTTGAAGATTTTTTCGTATGTTTGTTGATGGACTATATTTCTTCTTCTACGAAGTGTCTGTTCAGTTCCTTAGACCATTTGTTGATTGGGTTATTTGTTTTTTTGGTGTTAAGTTTTTTGAGCTCTTTATATATCTTGGAGATTAATGTTCTATCTGAAGTACATGTGGTAAAGATTTTCTCCCATGCTGTAGGCTCTCTCTTCAAATTATTGATTGTTTCCTTTGCTGAGAAGAAGGTTTTTAGTTTGAATCCATCTCCATTTATTGATTCTTGATTTTATTTCTTGTGCTCTAGGAGTTCTGTTAAGGAAGTCAGATCCTATGCTGATATGGTGAATATTTGGGCCTACTTTTCCTTCTGTTAGGTTCAGGGTCTTCTCTGTTCTAGACTCCCAGTCTTTGATCCACTTTGAGTTGAGTTTCTTGATCTTTGAATAACCTCAGTGTAACTAGAAACCCAGATCTGACAAAATGAGGAATGCATTTGATTACTTATATTCAGAGTTCCCCCAAAGATGAACAGAGCAAACCTTAAATGTGATTACTGATATCAAATTTATTGATTACCCAATGATCAAATGAAAAATGGTATGATCTCAAAATACTTGTTAGTGCTCTCTGAAGCCATCTGCAGAGCACTATGTCACAAACTTTATCAAAGGTACTTACAGGTTTTCTTCTATTGTCCTGTTAACCATTCAAATATCTTGAAATACTAGGTTTATGTAAAATTGTAATGCTGTAACTTTTATATACAAAGTTAAGCCCCAAACATACAATGATAGTTAAAATTTGCATTTGTCTTCTGAATATAGACATAATGATTCAAGATTATTATCTGATTTACTTCATATTCTAGCTTCATGGCAAGTCTAAACAAATTCAGAAACATTTATCAATATGGCAACTTACACTTCTATTTTCAAAAATACTTTTCCCAGAATAATCTTAGCTAAGATTTTAACAAAGGGTATTTTATATATTTTGTATTTATCTCATCTACATCTTTTATCATATCCTGATACACTATCATAGCTCTAAATAATTTGCATCCAATGGAACTTTCTGTGACAATAAAAATATTTTATCATCTCATGCTGTCCAATATAGTAGGCTAGAGCCACATGTGGCTACTGAGCATATGAAATAAGGTACTGTGACTTTAGAACTTGATATTTTTAAAAATTTATTTATTTATTCTAATTTGTTATACATGACATCAGAATGCATTTCAATATGTAATACATTTATATAGAGGACAATTTTCATATCTCTGATTGTACATAAAAGAGAGTCACACCATTCGTGTCTTCATACGTGTACTTAGGGTGATGATGTCCATCTCATTCCACCATCTTTCTTATCCCCATGCCCTCTCCCTCCCCCTCCCTCCCCTTTGCCCTATCTAAAGTTTCTCCATTTCTTGCATGCCACTCCCACATACACATCCCCATTATGGATTGGCATCCATACATTAGAGAAAACATCCAGCCTTTGATTTTTTAGGATTAGCTAACTTCACTTAGTATGATATTCTCCAAGTCCATCCATTTACCTGCAAATGCCATGATTTTATTCTCTTTTAATGCTGAGTAATATTCCATTGTGTATATATACCACAGTTTCTTTATCTATTCATCTATTGAAGGGAGAACTTATTATTTAATGTATAATGTCTGATGTCTATTATACTGAACAACAATATAAACTATAGCTGTTACAAAATAAAATTCCTAAGAACATTTAAGATAATCTTACAAAGGACAGTTAAAAATATTTTAAAAAGATTGGTGAATCTTTCAAGAAGTACAGAAATATCTCCCAAAGGATAAATGTTATTCCTATTTTCTCAAAAAGAATATAAAATAAAATTAATAAAGGAAAGAACTTGATTTTAATTGTCCAAAGTCAGAAACTTGAAATTAAGTGTGACTCTCAGGTGACTATTTTGTGTAATTTTGTTTGTTTTTGTCATTGAGGAAGTTCAATGAACTGTAGAAATGTTAAGTATTCCTTCTTCCTTATTATCTTAGTTTCCCTAGACTATACAAGCACAGAACATTATTCTATAAGTAATGGTAAGAAATAGCTTGCAACTTTACATGTTTTCTCTGTGAAAATGAGAAACAAGATGGTATTTGGGGTGGGGGTGGTGAATCCAGCCCTAAATTATGTAACCTTGTTGCTACTGCAGCCTAGACCAAAAAGGATTATAAAGTAGATGTAGATCACAGAACTATAGTGGATATTTGCCCAATGCCCTTTGGGTCCAAGTGTTTATATTCCCACTTAAGGGACACATGGTACTCAAATTGTGTCTGGGTGTTGCAAAGGTTTGCATTTTACACCAATATATGGATTTGGCACTTGTATGGATAATGTTAAAAAACATTATATAAGTAAAGACTATTGATACACCCTCCTGCTTGTTCAGATTTGTAAGCTCAATATCAATCATTCTTTGACTGAATTATAAATCTCAATGGTTCTTGCTGAACAATGGTAAATAAAAACTTAAGGGCCAGAGAAGCAGTATATCACTATGCATACTTAATTCTCTGGTCTCAAACATAGTAAATGTTGCCCTAAAAATTCCTGCTAACAAATATGTGGATGTAAGTCTGGAACAGTTGAGTTTTCTGAATTTTGGAAAATGTTTTTTCAAAATAAATATTTTTATTTAGTTTTAAGAAAACTACACAGACACATTCCTTCAACTAGGATTTAAGTTAAGATAATGTATCACTGTTTCTGCAAAGCCTGCTACTTCTGTGGGAATCCTGGAAAAATATCAACTGATATGCTTTATACCCAATTCTTCCACAATTGGGTGGTGGAAACAATATTCCTCTATACATGGAAAAGAGTACTTCTAAACTGTTTCTTTTCATCATAATCTCCATGGATATCCTTAGACATTTTTGCTTAATTTTCATTCCCCATTCCTGTCCAAATTTTAGTAATACAATTATGCCATGTATATATCTGATTATGTACTATAGTTGTTTGGAGAACAAGTCAGTGAAATAATGAAAAAATTTTCCCCCTAAGAATCAGTGTCATCCATGAGGATATTAATTATGTTGCCAATACCTAGTGTAGAGTAAGATGAGAAAAATAACTGAATGTGTAAGGAGTGTATACAGGGTGTTCCGGCCTATAACAAACTGTGTTTGGAGACAGTTGGAGGCAGTTTCAATTTAGGATCTTTAAGATGAAAGCATCCCCTTCAATGATTAGAAGAGACAGAAGATAGAAATAAAGACTATATTACTTACAAGTCCTTGGGGAGTATATCACATGCTCTGGAGGTAACATGCAGAAGAAGTCAAGCAGCACATGAAGAGACGAAAGGAGGGAAAGGGAGAGGGAAAGGAGAAGAAAACGGAGTGAAGGGTGAGAGAGAGGGAGAGTTAGTTGAGTTCATAGTGTTATCCAAACAGGCTTCCTTGGGAGTTTTAATTGGTGGGTTTAAAGCAAGAAAACACAAATTCCATGGAGTTACACTGTGATAGAGAGGTGGTCACTGCAGCATATGTGCACAATCCATATGGGGTGGGGTGAGAGTTAACAGGGCCAGTCAAGTAGGTAGGTTGTACCTAGATGTCCCATAGGAAGGTGGTCAACCAAGAGGCAATTACAAAAGGCAGTTAACTGGATTGACTACATTGAGAAAATGGGAGGAGGTATAGAACTGGAAACTGTGTCCTAGATGAATAAATCCTGCTTCTGATATGAGAAAGTTAAATATACTCAAAATGGATGCTGGGGCAAAAATTAAAGTTGTAAGAATTGGCTACATCCTTCTAATACTCACACCCTACAAAATACACTGTTGAGGTTCCAGGTACATTCTCTGTCATACAACTCATTTTGGCCCAATATCATCTCTGTTCCTAAAACAGAAGGAGACATTCAAACACTCTTGACTGACTAGTGCTTTTATGGTATAAGCTAAGCATAGAAATATAAAAAATCTAGAATTTGAAGGAATGGAAGCCAGGGAGAACTTAAAATATTATTAATGTTGATTAATTATAAGAAGATTTCCAATGTAGATTAAATTATTGGCTAGTTAAAAAACACAAATTAGCTAGAAACATAAATAACATACCTAATTGAATCTACAGGGTCAGTAGTAATATCCTCTCTTTCAAAACTAATTTTAGTGATTTGTATCAGTCTATATAGTTTATCAATTTCACTCATGTTTAATTTCATGGATTTTTTTGTATATTTTTTCTTTCTTCATATCAACAATTTTTGCTCAGATCTATATTATTTACTTCCTCCTGTGCACTTTGGGTTGTATTTTCTCATTTAGCATTTTTCTTATTTCCCAAGGTAGAAGCTTATTTATCTTTCTCTTTTCTGATATAATCATTGTATGCTTCCATCTGAGAATTTCTTTAATTATATCACACTCAGCACAAAATGTTTTATACTTTCTTTTAACATATTTTATTTGACTCATGGGTTCTATATGGTGTCTTTATTTCCAAATATTTGGCAATTTTCAACTTGATTTTTATTTCTAATTTCTTTGTGGTCATAGAACATACTCTACATTATTTTAGTCCTTTTAAGCTTATTGAGTATAGTTTTATGGCTTAACATCTAATCTATCTTGGGAGAATGTTCAGGTATGCTTGAAAATAAATAGTATTCTGCTAATGTTGGATAGAGTGTTTCAATATATCTATATCCAGTATATATCTGTATATCTATATCCAGTATATATCTGTATAGATGTCTCTCCCTTTCTCTCTTGCTCACCCTCTCTCTGTGTCTCTTTCTCTTACACACACACACACACACACACACACATACACACAATCATGAGTGACCCAGATTCCATTGCTGCCCAGTACAGTGTCCTGTGGGGTATTACATAATACCTACAAAAATCATATAATATCAATATTTCATGGATAAAATATCACTAACATGAGAATTCCCACTGGCCCCCCAAGACAGGATGGCAGAAATCATTTCCCACAAATTTCTTTATTTCACATCTCATGGTGAAAGAATGGATTTTAATGTAAGGCCCTGTACTTTGTCCTTGTTGACCTGTAGGAATAAAAACAATGAAAGAGGAGAGGTATAGAAGCATACATGTTCATTGGTCTATGAGGCACAGCAGGGTTCAGTTATATATTGCATTTTAAATTAGCTAATGTAGTACTCTTCTAGAATGGGTACTATGGTCATTGTATTAGCTTTCAACCTCTATCAGGGAACATTGTGCCCAATACTTTCTGCCAGACAAATGTGCAGTCAGACTAAATGAATATACTTAGACTACAAAAAATGGTGAACTGGTGAACAGCATATCAATTTAATTCAACCATAGAATCATTTAACCTTCAAAGGTGATTCAATGGATTGGGAAGAAGGTAGTCATGAAAATCTATGGCAGGGAAAAGAAGGAACAACTGTCTAAATATGGATTGTAGCATTTAACATGTTTGAGTACCAAAACCTGGAAATTTGCAGAGGCTGCCCAAGGTTATGTATGTTGCACCCCATTCAGTTTAGAGTGGTCAGAGCAATGCAGGGAGGACACACTCAGGTAAAGTATATACATGTGATTAGAATGGTTGTGTAGCATGCATAGAGTGAATAATGCAGACACTGGGCCCTCTCACTGTGAGATACACCCCATCCTCCTTTCAGAGTAAAGCTCACCAGGCCCACAGCTTCAGACTCAGTGGAACCTAGGCAATTATATCTCTCAAGCTTCCCTCTGCCACACCAGTAAGGAAGAGCATATCCATCACTCTCCATGCCTAGTTTCCAGAGAAGGAATCATCAGGAAGATTGAGAATGTGCCAAAATTCTAGAAAAGAACAAATAGAAATCTCAGAGTACTCATCAGATGATAAAGGCCTTCCAATGTCTGAATTAACAGATTGTAAACAGCACCAATTAAATTCCAGAATTTTTTTATTTATATATGACAGAAGAATGCATTATAATTCTTATTATACATATAGAGCACAATTTTTCATATCTCCGATTGTATTCAAAATATATTCACACCAATTCATGTCTTCATACATGTACTTTGGATAATAATGTCTATTACATTCCACCAACATTTCTAACCCCATGCCCCCTCCTTTCCCCTCCCACCCCTTTGCCCTATCTAGAGTTTGTCTATTCCTCCCATGATCCTCCTCCCTACCCCACTATGAATAAGCCTCCTCATATCAGAGAAAATATTTGGCATTTGGGTTTTTGGGATTGGCTAACTTCACTCAGCATTATCTTCTCTAACTCCATACATTTACCTACAAGTGCCATGATTTTATTCTCTTATTGCTGAGTAATATTCCATTGTGTATATATGCCACATAACTCAAATTGGCACTATTTGCTGATGATATGATTCTATACCTAGAAGACTCTAAAAGTTCCATCAGAAAACTTCCAGAGCTAGTAAATGCATTCAGCAAAGTAGCAGGATATAAAATCAATACCCATAAATCAAATGCATTTCTGTATATCAGTGACAAATCCTTAGAAAAGGAAATGAGAAAAACTACCCCATTTTCAATAGCCTCAAAAAAACAAACAAACTTGGGAATCAATAAAAGAAGTGAAAGATCTATATAATGAAAATTACAGAACCCTAAAGAAAGAAATCAAAGAAGACCTTAGAGGATGGAAAGATCTGTTAATTCAGACATTGGAAAGGCCTTTATCATCTACCTTTATCATCTACTGTTTAAAATCTGTTAATTCAGACATTGGAAGGCCTTTATTATCCACCTTACTCTTGGATAAGCAGAATTAATATTATCAAAATGACCATACTACCAAAAGCACTATACAGATTTAATGCAATTCTGATCAAAATTCCAGTGACATTCTTCATAGAAAGAGAAAAAGCAGTCAAGAAATTTATTTGGAAAAACAAGAGACCCAGAATAGCTAACACAATTCTTAGCAAGAAGAGTGAAGCAGGTGGCATCACTATACCAGATCTTAAACTATACTACCGAATTCTTAATAATAAAACTAGTTAGGAAAGAACTATAAAAAATTAAATGTTAACTCAAGAGTGTGCCATTCTGTTCCTTCTCAAACAAACTGGTAGAAATGACGAAATTAGCTCTTCATTAGTGTGACAGTAAGAGATTCATGCAATTCCAATTTTGAACCTACAAAACACAGTGGAAATAGAAAAGTGGAAAAAGGAAATCTTCCAAATTGAATATTAATTTTTAAGGAATTGATTTCACATATATGTCTATATATCTATCTATATCTATATCTATCTATCTATCTATCTATCTATCTATCTATCTATCTATCTATCTATCTATCTATAAAATTGTATGACAAAAAAACAAGTCACTGTATTCCATGGAACAGGAAAGTGTGGAAAATCTTTTTTCTAAAACTTGCTCAAAACTTTAGCATCCCTCATTAAAACTAGGGTCTTCCTCAAAGAGAACAGGAAATCCACTGAAGGGTGTGAATATTAGCCAATAAAATTGGTATAAAACTTTAAGAAGTAGAATATAATAATTTTACAATTAAAACTATTTAAAGCAGTATCCACTGGAATCACTCAAGTATTTAGAAAACTGCTCTTTAAGGATGACAGAAAAAAATCATCTGAACTTGTACAGCTGGAATAGCAAGAAAATTCAAATACATTCTGAGACATTCCCATGATTAGAAATCACTCATTTTCCAGATACTCTTACCTAAAAACAATAGAGAAGACAAAAATATCTTTTGAACTGATCATTCAATAGACTTCTACAGACTGCTCCTAATGGAAAATTGTAAATGTATAAATGGTTAAAGGCCAGACACTACCATAATAACTCAGTGGAGTCTCACTAGTCATGTGCTAATTTCCCAGAGTTGGATTACTAAAAGGAGATAGACGTTAACTGTCAAGTACTCACAAAATTTGCTGTGCAATCCACAATAGATATTTATAAAGAACTTTACAATCTATTTAACAGCTGCTCTCATGTTAGCTTTCAAATATCCTAGACCCCATGGTCCCTACTGCCTGAGTACCTGAAATCCCTCCCATATGTCTGTCTAACAGGATCCCCATGCTAGACCTCAGCTCACAGAAGTGGTTTGGTCACTCATTTTGTTCAGAATCCAACAAGATTCATTTTTGTAAGTCATCATTGGTCCAGGCACATTGAATAAGCCACCCTGAGTCTAAGGTATTTGGTAGGTTGCTGAGGGCCATTACCAAGTAGGAATGACGCATCAAAATCCTTGCCAGCGTACCCCATGTTAAATGGACTTGCCTTGGAAATTTGCTGCGACCTTGCTTGTGTGTTTGAGAAAGGTGACCCTGCTCAATCACCAGGGTCGATCCAGGATTAGGGTGTATCTTGCAGGAAGTATCCCTGTCCTTGGGTTTAGGGCGTGACAATAGGAGTTTTAGGGAAGTTGGAGGTTGAAGATTATTCCTGCTGGGAGTAGGGCGTGCCTGCTGCTGTGTTCTCCTGGAGAGAAAGTATTTAGGACTTGAATTGTGGGGGTGATTGGGATTCTCCTGGACCTGTGTGGAGGTGGTGTGAGAGCGGGAATAAAGAATTGCTGTTTGAACCTACAAAGGTGTGTGGTGGCTCGTGATTCTGGTGCCAAGCCGAGACCTTGGCAGTAGGTACTGATTACCCAGGAGTTTGTCATTCTGGGACACACAGACTCACATTCTTCAACCATGGAGCTCTGCATCACAGTTAATGACCATTCCCTTGGCTGTCTATCATAGCCAGTGTCATTAAAATACTGTGATTCCCCAAGAAGAATATCAAATATTCTCAGGATAAAATTCTTACCTTATGAAAATTCCAACTGGCTCCTGATGATGGGTTAGCAAAATTATTTTTAATACTTTGCTTCACATCAGCTCTCAAGAAGATTAAATAAACTCTTTAATATAAAATTCAGTTTTTGGTAGCATGCCAATCTGTGGCAACAATAAAAGTTTGGAAATGTGAAAAGCATAAAGCACACATTTTTTATTTGTCAAGCATACTTAACACAGGAGGATTATTTATAGGCCTTCATATAAAATAATTTTATATACCTCTACTAGGTTGTTTCTAACATCATTCAAAAGGGAGTCATAAAGAGCTGAAAGCCTGAGATGGTTCAGCAGTTAATTTATAACTCACACTGTCTGAATTATCAGACACTTTACAAAACAAATTACCTATTGAATTACATAAATAAGCAAAAAAGTATATTTATTAAAAATTAGATATTACCTTTGGAATGTAAAGTTTTGTTCTGTCCCAAAAATGGAACAGATAAGAATGACAAATTAGCCCTTCTTTGGGATGATGATAATAATTCCATGCAATTACAAAAACACTTCCAGTCTACAATACACAAAGGAAATGAAGGAAGTCTTAAAATCTTTCCAATGGATTGATTCCTGAGAACAGTTTAAAATAAATTAGCTACAGATATTCATTTGAACGTCTACACAACTAGACCAATAAGATTATATTCATTCCTTAGAACAGGGTAGAATAGAAAAACAACTTTTCAAAGATGTCAAAGTTGACCCAAAGACTTTTGTGAACCTTTACTATTGTTAACTAAATTGAGAATCACTCTTTAAACACACACAGACTCACTGAAGGAATATGAGTATGAGCTGTTGGTATTCTAAATAATTCCAAATTTACAAATTTGACAATATAATTTAAAAAATGTTTGATCAAACATATAATCTAAATCATATGGAATATTTAGAAGATTGCCTGCTGAATGGTGGGAAAATAAAAAGAAATGAAACAATGTTCTAACCCTTGGAAAAATGTTAAAAAATTAACTAAAATACATCATAAAATAAACTCTTGAATATAACTTATTCTTCAATTTCCACATATTTATTTTAGTTAAGAAACATAATGAGCGAAGACTAATAATTTCTTCCTAATTTTCTATACATAAACCTGTGCATAATTGAACTTTACTAAGATGACTGTGGTATCTAAGAAAATGATGTGCACAATAGCTAAAAAATGGAAATAAGCTAGGTGCCCATCAACTGATGAATAGATAAAGAAAACGTGGCACATGGGGGTGGATCCAAGATGGTGGAGTAGAGGAGATACCATTTCTGGCTGCTCTGTGCATGAATCCAAGAAAGCTATCAGGTGGCTTCTCCACGGGGTCTCACCTTGTCAGAATACAACACCTCAGAGCGTGACAGGACCTCATACAGCAGATTTTTGCAGAATCCACCAAAGCTGTGAACACCGAGAAGAACTCAGAGCCTCTGTATTCCTTTAAGACTCCAGTCTCTGGTCCCAAGGCCCACAATTTGAGCACATGTGCGACTCTTAAGCTGCAGAACAGAAACATCAAATCAGCACCTCTGCAGAGTGGCAGAACTCTGCTCCCATGCAGGTCACCAGACAACATTCTAGCCACAGCAGGAGGACTTTCCAGCTCCCCCCACCTCACCAGACACCCTGATGTGGAAAACAGATGAACTCTATCTTGAAAAACCTTTCTTGCTATCTTTTGGTAGGTGTGGCTACCAGCATGGTTCTGCCACTGAACAGGTTCCTGGTTTCCAACTTCCCCTCCCCCCAACTGTGATAACTTGGCATAATAACTATCAGCACAAAATTAGCTCTCAGTTGAATAGAGCTCAGTGCAACCAGGGCAGTGCTTACCTGGTACAATCCAATGGGGACAGCAAGAGGTCCCACAGCTGAGATCTGATAAGCAAGAGAGTGGAGGGGTAAAAACTAGGAGCAACGCAGATAAAGCAAATAGATCAAGATTAGGGAAGCTCCAGGCAAGAGACTGAGAGCTCTAATCTTCTCGCATTGGTTACCAACACCAAACTGAGGGAAGAGACTCAAGCTTGGAAGAGAAGAGAAGAGAAGAGAAGAGAAGAGAAGAGAAGAGAAGAGAAGAGAAGAGAAGAGAAGAGAAGAAAAAACTAAATTCTTAGAGTATTTTGTTGTTTGTTTGTTTGTTTTCTTCTCTTCCATTTTATATTCTTCCTTTTTCCTCTACCCTTCCTCTTCAGGTCTTCACAACCCCAAAATATGTGAAACCAAGAAGATTGCATGAAATAGAACTTTAAGAACTGAGTCACCAAAATAATATAATACAGAGGAATTGCATAAGTCCCCCCTTTTTTCTTTCTCTCTCTCTTTTTTCCCTTTCTTTTAATTTTAATCCCTCCCTCTCTTCCTCTATAAACCTCCTAATTTTTACTTACTTCCAAATGCTTTATAAATACATATATGTGTTTCTTTTTATGCATTCTACTGTCCTCCAACATACTTGTATACCTTAAATTACCTCCTGTCTATTCACCAGGTACTACCCTCTTGATAAGAGTTCTCCAAATTTCCTAAGTTATATTAAGCCCATACCTTCACATCTTTCTCCCTTAACATAACATCATACACTCGACCCCAGTTCTCTGTCCACAACCATAAACTGTACATCTTTTATGAAACTACTCATTATACATTAAATAATAATTGAGTCCAACATTTCTAGACATTGAGACGAACTATAAATGTCTTAATAAAAATAATTTACTCTAAGGTGATATATTGTTGATATTGGGAATGGTCAACATTGCCCTTCCCCACAAAGAAGGGATCTTGGAAGTATACAAGAGCACCACAAATCCTTAGGGTAAAAACAATATCACAACAGTCCCACAGAATGGAAAAGAAATGTGAGCAACATGAAAACACAAGGGAAGAAAGTACCACAAACAATTCAAGACAACACATCATTAAAAGAACTTACAGAAACAGCATAACAAATGACAGACAAAGAGTTCAGGATTTACATGAACAGATGTTTTGGAATCTCAAAGAAGACATTAGACAGCAAATACAGACAGTGAAAGACCACTTTGACAATGAGCTACATAAACAAATCCAAGAAGCAAAAGATCACCTCTACAGGTAGATAGAGGTTATTAAAACAAGACAAAACAAAACAAAATCAGAAATCCTTGACATGAAAGGAATAACAAACCAAATTAAAAACATAAATGAGAGCATTACCAGCAGAGTACTCAACTCAGAAGATAGGACTTCAGACAACGAAGACAAAGTATATCATCTTGAAATGAACGCAAATAGCATAGTGAAAATGATAAGAAACCAAGAGCAGAACATCCAAGAAATATGAGATAGCATAAAAAGACGAAATTTAATAGTTATTGGGATAGAGGAAGGCTCTGTAGAGGTCAAAACCAAAGGAATGAACAATCTGTTTAATGAAGTAATATCTGAAAACTTTCCAGACATGAAGAATGAAACGGAAATCCAAATCCCTGAAGTCTACAGAATGCCAAATGCGCAAAATCACAACAGATCCACACCAAGACACATTATAATGAAAATGCCCAACATACAGAATAAGGGGAGAATTTTAAAAGCCACAAGACAAAGGAATCAGATTACATATAGGGGTAAGCCAATTAGGATAAGGGCAGATTTTTCAACACGGACCCTGAAAGCTCGAAGATCCTGGAACAACATATTTCAAACTCTGAAAGATAATGGGTTCCAACCAAGAATCCTGTATCCAGCAAAACTAAGCTTCAGATTTGAAGATGAAATAAAAACCTTCCATGATAAACAAAAGTTCAAAGAACTTACAGCTAGAAAACTGGCGCTACAAACATCCTTGGCAAATTATTTCATGAAGAGGAAATGAAAAACAACAATGAAAAATAGCAGAGGGAGGTAGTACAATGAAAGAGAAGCTGATCAAAGAGGAAAACCAAGTCAAGTTAAGTAACAAAAATAAGCAAACATGGCTGGAAATACAAACTATGTCTCAATAGTAAACCTAAATGGTAATGGCTTAAACTCACCAATCAAAAGACACAGGCTAGCAGATTGGATTATAAAAAGATCCAACAATATGCTGCATACAGGAGACTCATTTGATAGGAAAAGACACACAGAGACTGAAGGTGAAAGGTTGGGAAAAACCATACTACTCACATGGACTGTGGAAACAAGAAGGGGTTTCTATACTCATATCAAATAAAGTAGACTGCAAGCCAAAGTTAATCAAAAGGGATAAAGATGGTCATCATACACTGCTCAAGGGAACCATACACCAACAAGACATAACAGTCATTAATATATATATGCCAAACAATCGTTATAGGTATGTTCATCAAACTCTTCTCAAATTCAAGTGTGAAACTGACTACAACACAATAATCTTGGGTGACTTTAACACCCCTCTCTCATCACTGGACAGATCTTCCAAACAAAAGTTGAATAGAGAAACTATAGAGTTCAATAACACAAGTAATAACTTAGACTTCACTGACATATATAGAATGTATCAACCAGCATCAAGTGGATACATATACTTTCTTCTCAGCAGCACATGGATGCTTCTCAAAAACAGACCATATAATATGCCATAGGGCAACTCTTAGCAAATACAAAGGAGTAGAGATACTACCAGGCATTTTATCCCATCATAAAGGAATGAAATTGGAAATCAACGACAAAATAAAAAAAAATTCTGCATCACATGGAGACTGAACAATAGCTATTGAATGAACAATGGGTTACAGAAGACATCAAGGAGGAAATTAAAAAATTCCTAGAGGTAAATGAGAACACAGACACAACATATCGAACTCTCTGGGACACTATGAAAGCAGTACTAAGAGAAAAATTCATTGCATGGAGTTCATTCCTTAAAAGAAGAAAAAGTCAAAAAATAAATGACTTCACATTACATTTCAAACCCCTAGAAAAAGAAGAACAAATCAGCAGCAAAAGCAGTAGAAGGCAAGAAATAATTAAAATCAGAGCTGAATCAATGAAATCGAAACAAAAGAAACAACCGAAAACATAGACAAACTAAAAGGTGGTTCTTTGAAAAAATAAACAAAATTGACAGACCCTTAGCCATGCTAATGAAGAGGAGAGAGAGAACACAAATTACCAGCATATGTGATGAGAAAGGCAATATCACAACAGACACTACAGAAATACAGAAGATAATTAGATATTATTTTGAAAGCTTATACTCTAATAAAATAGAAGACAGTGAAGGAATGAAGGCATTCCTTAAGTCATATGATCTTCCCAGATTGAGTCAGAAAGATATACACAATGAAAACAGACCATAACAAGGGAGGAAATAAAAGAAGCTATCAAAAGACTACCAACCAAGAAAAGCACAAGACTGGATGGATACAGAGCCAAGTTCTTCAAGACCTTTGAAGAGGAACTAATACCAATACCCTTCAATTTATTTCAGGAATTCCAAAAAGAGGGAGTACTTCCAAACTCATTCTACGAGGCCAATATCATCCTGATTCCAAAACCAGACAAAACACTTCAAAGAAAGAAAACTTCAGACCAATACGTCTAATGAACATAGAAGCAAAAATCCTCAATAAAATTCTGGAAATCGAAAACAAAAACATATCTAAAAGATTGTGCACCATGATCAAGAGGGATTCATCCCAGGGATTCAAGGTTGATTCAACATATGAAAATCAATAAATGTAATTCATCACATCCAAAGTCTTAAAGTTAAGAATCTTATGATCATCTCGATAGACGCAAAAAAATCATCTGACTAAATACAGCACCTATTTTGGCTTAAAACACTATAAAAACTAAAGACAACAAGAACAGATCTAAACAGTGTAAAGGCTACCTACGCCAAGCCTCAGGTCAACATCATTCTAAATGGAGAAAAACTGAAGGCATTCCCTGGAAAATTTGGAGCAAGGAGGTATGCCCTCTCTCACACATTCTATTCAACATAGTTCTTGAATCACTGGAGACAGCAATTAGATAAAAAAAATTTAAAAAACAAGTATAGAAAAAGACCCTAAACTATACTACAGAGCAATAGTAACAAAAACAGCATAATATTGGCACCAACAAAGGCCAGTAGACCAATGGTACAGAATAGAGGACACAGAGAAGAACCCACAAAATTACAATTATCTTATATTCGACAAAGGTGCTAAAAACATGCACTGGACAAAAGAAAGCATCTTCAACAAATGGGAAAAAGGGAAATCAATATGCAAAAAAATGATATTGAACCCCTCTCTCTCAAGATGCAAAAAACGTACCTAAAAATCTATCAAGGAATTTTGAAACATTTTCCTCACAGAAATGATAAATATTCGAGAGGACATGTATATTTAACCTGATTTAATCCCAATACAAGGTATTCATGTAATAAAAAGTTACATGGTACCCCCCTAGTACGAACATCTTTTATGTATCCGTTTGAAAGTAAACTTAAAAATAACATTGCAATACTTAGAAACTAAGAAGAAAATGGTATGAATGTTTCAAATGCAACCACAGCTACTTTCACAGTGTTCATGATGTGTGACCTTGTCCCTAGCATTCCTATACCATTCATATACCTGAGAAGCAGGTATACGAATGCTCTGGTCAAGCACTCCGAGGAGTGCAATGGAACACCACTACCCCCAATTCAAAAAGAGCTCTCTATAATTTTTTTCATTCTAACCTAATATAAGGAAGACAGTTTTCTAATACCTTATTGCTTATGGGTCCCACTGTCTGAACACCCTGAATTCCCCCCGCCCCGCCCCTGCCACCCCTGTCTGCCTGGCAGAGTCCCCATGCTGGACCTCAGCTCACAGAAGTGGTTTGGTCACTCATTTTGTTCAGATTCCAACAAGATCCATTTTTTGTTAAGTCATCATTGGTCCAGGCACGTTGAATAAAATGGACCCTGAGCCTAAGGTATGTGGCAGCTACTGATCACCCAGGTTTTTGTCATTCTGGGACACATGGA